TCTGTGTGCGCTGTGTTTGCGTTGGAGTTGTGTTGCGTTTGTTGCGTTTGTTGTGTGCTTTTGTTGCATTTCTGTCGATTCCACATTTGAATTTGTCAATCAAATTGCACTTTCAGTTTGCTTAATCACTTTCTATGAGCTTGAGAACATTAAAATTTTAAGCTGATTCAACCAATTGATTTTTTGCTTTAATATTTTAATAAAACTTTTAAAAAACTGTTAAATATTTATGTTGCAAAAAGAATAGAACTCAGTTCATCGTTTACACTATTATGTGCGGTTCGAATATATATTTTTTTGTTTGGCATATCCTTTTGCAATGTCAAACACAAATACAAATTTTGTTCAAATATAAATACAAACTAAACTTTTTAGCCTTAAGCTTTTATGCAAATTTCTACAAATCACAACAAGCCTGTATGCATATATCACAGGACCTAAAACGTTCGGCTTTGCGGAAACGTATAGCATGGTACACAAAAATTTAGCTAAAGGTTTGCATATTTACTTTGGAAAAAAAGAAACTAAATCTAATTGCAACTACCATAGATCTCTCACAGGTTTTCTAGTTTCTTATAGACACCATCCATATCTTCAATAAGATAATAAGAATTGTAATAAAAATCAGTCTTTACATATTGTATTACCTTTGCAGTTAGATAGCAGTCAACAAAAAATATAATCCATAAATTCCCTACAAGTAGCTATGTTTTACGTAATAAATTGTCGATGTTAAGAATAGTATATAAAAACCACACGTTCAGCAAATTCTGTAGTGCACATTAGAACGTGTAGTTCATCGCATTAGCTCAGATTTTTCTTGAATATGAATGCCAAATTTGTTGTACGCAATCATATATATTTATATATTATATATATATATATGTATATGTATATTTTCTTGGTTTTACAGGATATATGTACTTTTTACATACTTGGTATTTTAAAAATGTGGAAAAAATTGTTTTTTCAGTTTTTTGTGTTTGCATTTCCACGTACTTTATGCGGCATTATGTTGTAGTCTACATCTTTGACTGCCTGTTCGGGCATATTTTATCATGCACAATCCTCACATGAAAGCCACATTGAAATGGCATTTATCCTGTTTGCCAAAAGTAAAATTATTGTAATAGGATTTAAAGAAAATTATTTCAAAGCAATGTTTTCCTTTTGAGTTCATGTGTAATGTTGGATTTAAAATAAACAGACAATTTTACTCTACTCGAGACTTGTGAAATGGTACAGTCTTGCCAAATGAGCAGATATTATACGTGTATTACGCCTATTCAAAGTTTTTATTTTAAAAGCAGAACTAAAGGAAATGTTAATTGCTTATTTCAATGCTTGACGAAAATAGTTTGTAATCAGATTTGCTAAATTATATTTAGAAATACAAATAGCAACATTTTACGTATTTGTATATTAAAAAAAGGAAATTTATTTGTCTATGGAATTAACGCAATGACAAACTACAATTAAAATAATTTTCCTTAAAATTTTTTTTATAATTTAATATTTAATTATTTAAAAAAAAATGCATTCAATACTATTTATTATTCACTTCTCGTATTGTAAATTAATTCAAAAAAAAATTCAATTATAAAAATTCATGACATTCAATTATAGAAATTGGAACATTTCTGACGTCTCTGAGTATAGAGAAGTATTATATGTTACTATTTCAGAACAGTAATTATTTTGCTGATTTTCTAGGGACATTTATTTTTTTCGAACCATCCTACTAAACAGTCGTAAGCCAGCCATATCTTGTAATTTTTTAGTTTTTATTTGAAGTTTTTTTATTTTTAAATTTTAGATACAATATACATTTTCAAATCTTAAGAATTTATTTTAGAAGTTCTAGCTACCAAGGTCTTCGACTCGACTAAAATTAGTTAAATATGAAAGTTTAGTTATGGATTAAATGCATTTGATTAAGTTACAATGTTTGATAAAATTAACAAAATAATGAATTTTTGATTTGGATATAGTGTTATTAAGTTATGTAAAAAGTAATCAACAATCAGTTAAAAATTAAATTATCTGATATACGCTAAAAATATTGAGTTATCTAGGATATAATCTACGCTTGTTTGTTTTGCACAAAAATTACTGATAACCAGTTAGTAGGTGTTGATGGGTTAATTTGGTCTGCCCAATTATAAGACGTACCATTTGCATACTGTGTGGTTTGACAACTGATGTTTATATTGGCGTAACGGTAATAATTAAAACTCCAGTCGCCAACTTCTTTTCCAAAAATGTGCTGCCATATTTTTTCTTTTATATCCAATATAAAAGAAAAGTAATAATAATAATAAATCTTCAGCTTTATTATTACCTTTTATTCCTGGATGATTGAGTACTCAATATAGAACTAGGTTTGAGGGATTTTTCATGCACACATGTCTGATTTTAATCAGGTATTGGTTTAATCAAGTACAGATGACATATTTATGAATGATTTTCAAAATATTTTATGGTTCCTTCAACTGCGAATGCCTTGACTGAAAAAATAGAGTTAGAGTTTGGCAAGTCAACCATCCTATATAATTGAAACATTGAGCATAGAATGTAATTTATTCATTTTTCAAATCCAATTGTAAAAGTCTAAGGTGTCATTTCGTTGATTATTGTTAAAATCACTTGCGTAATCCTTTGGAGGAAGGGAAAAGATCTTGACATTTTGCAGTCCATTAAACCACTAGTTGCATAAAGAATATGAAATATCGTTTCAAAACTAACTGGACTCTACCAGAGTTATTGGTACTTGCTGCACTAATAAAATCATTATTATTTAAGGCATTTTAAACTCAAATAAAAAGTCTAAGCTAAGTCTGGAAAATAAAGTCTTGATATACATTTTAATTTTAAAACTTATCTAGTCCTATGGCATAGAACTCTAGAGTACAGCATGTTTTCTAATATCGAAAATCCCAACAGTTGCAGACGTTATTAGAACATGCGGCCAAAAATATAAAGTGAAACTTTTAGACTAAAATGAAAAAGTTTTATACCACCTTTACATAATTTTACTAAAAAGTCTTTCTTTTGCTATAAATTTTGATATATATAATCCATTTCATTTTATTATAAAGTTTAAATTCTTTTTTAGCACCTGCTAATTGCATTATATTTAGTTTTTAAATTAATAAAATAATTATTTAACTCATAACAAGATTTGATTATATAATTGTCAATCAGAAAGATACAATTAAAAATGAAATAATATACAAAAAAAAAAATTAAGGCATTTTAAATATTTAGATATTTTTCTTATAATATATCTCATATAAAAAATCCCTTCAAAATATATATGTTATTAACATTATCTCTAAATAATAATATATAACAGATATTTATTTTTAAGATAATTTTATATATTGTATGTTGCTTGTAAAAAAATTACTTTACTTCCACAATCAAGTACTTTACTCCAAATTGTGTATAGTTCCGGTAGAACTTATCTTAAGTCATACTTCTGCATTGTAATATATAAATAATTAATTAAGAAAAAATTGTAAACTGCATCAGTTCCATATGCAAATCCTTCTTTTTCTTTTTACTTTGAATGAAACTTAAAAAATTTTTAATAAAATAAGACAAAATTTATAAAAATTATTTTAAACCGTTCTTAAAAGTTGTGATTGAGAAGTTGTTCTAATGGAGAGAAAAGTTTTCTTAGAAGTTCGCTTTGAGAAGGTGAACTGCATTTTAATTTCAAAGTTAATTTCTGATTGAACGAACACTTTGAGGTGATGTAATCCCTAAACTAATAAGAAATCCTTGTATTCGCTTGATTACTTAATTAAGTTCAGTTTAAGTGAAAAGTTGACATAAATTGAATGAATTTAAACATTAATTTTATGTATAAAATATTGAAAATTTTTTTATTTTAATTTAATCGCTATATTGACTATAGTGATTATTTCTACTTAATAAGAAAAATTATACTCAAATGAAATCTGAAAATTGCCTGAATATTTTGCTTGCAACAAAAAGCAGTCTAAACTACCTTAGTACCAAATCAGTACCAATACAAAGAAAATGAGACCAAACTGGAACAAGGTCCTTGTACCATTTCACTACTTTTATTTTATATTATAAAATTTTGCATAAGGACATTTTGCAGTCAAAATGTGTCCTCTTTGTTGTTGCATGTTATTTGAACTGTCCTTTTTAAATGTTTGAATAAATGTAACTGATAATGTTTGCCAAAAAAGTAAAAATGGTAAAAGTAGACCAGCAGAAATACCAAATGCATATTTTCTGCCACTTTTCGGTTTCAGTTTTAAATTTTGGTTTTATATTTTTATTTGTTTGACTCTAAATGTTCCTTTAATAATGTATCCTTAATATGTGTTTCACATTTGCATGTTTATAATTTAAATTATGCATGGAATTGTATTTGAATTTCAATACAGGATAAGGCGACTGAAAAGCCATCTGTAACTGCCTGCCTTATGCGACTAGTACCGCCGGAACCGCACTGTATCTCCACTGTAACTCCAGTGTAACTCTAGTGTAAACAATAAATATGCACATCAACACCAACGTTTTGCACAAATAAAATTACTTAACTGCATTTTAATTGCTTTCTCTATTTTTAATTTGTATTCTGCACGGTTTTCCCAGCAGGACTTGGCTGGAAATATGTAAATAGCTGCGCAATGCAAACGAAGGAAGCTTATTATGTTTAAAATTGTGATTTAACTAATACACTCCATGAATATTTTGCCTCAGCAAACTTAATTTGCTATTTGCTGGCACTGCACAAACTGAACTGCATTGTTTTTGCATAATGAAAATATAAAATTATGCAATATGAGTACATAAAATTAAAAAAAGTTTCATAATTCAAATAAGTTTTATCCTTGCAAGAGGAAATTGAGACTTTAGATTCCGCATAATTCAATGCTGATGTAAAAAATTATTATTCCTTTACAAAATACATTTTTTAATTATTGTTATTTATTTAGTTAAATAAAAAAGATTTAAGACTAAAATAAAAGTGATGAAATAATTTACTGAATTTAAAAGTTCACATAATCAAATTCACGTTTTAAACGCAATGCCAAACACATTTTCTGCAAGTCCACATCATATTGAGCCTTGCAGCGGTCGACGTCAACTTTATGCACCAGTGGCAATTTCAAGCGATACATGTTCGTACCCAAATCTATTTCTTGCTCCTTAATGGATAATGTCATTTTTTCCGCCGGCATGGTTTCTCCAGGCAACATAATTTCCAATAGTAAATCCTCACAGCTGGCAGAAGAGGCACTACGATTACCCATCTAACAAATAAAAAGGTGAACATTTATATATTACTAAAAAAAATAATTAAAAATATTTGTGAATATAATATTTTAAAGTTCACACACACTGATTTAAGTTATAATTATAGTTTGTCATTTTAACAAGTCTAACAGCACTAAATAATTTGCCCTGAAGAAGAACACAAAAAAAAACTTCGCACCGACTGCGTTATTCATTAAAAGATATTAAAAATTCTATATATATTTTATATACTATATTCTATATATATTTTAAAAATTTCTTAAGCAATAATAAAATTAATTCCATAATATAAGAATTTAATGAAAATGTATGTATCTTTAAATAACTAAATATTTGTGAAACGTAACTAAATAAAAAAATATATAAAAATAAAATAACATAAAATAATTTTATATGAAATAAATATAAGTACGATTAGAAATTAATAAGAAAACTAATTTTAACCAAAATTCAATATTAAACTTAAAACTTACTTGCAAAAATACGTCTTCGGTGCCTACAGCTTGACGATAGGTCATTTTATACTCAGGACACTTACGAGTCTCCAAAATTTCCGCCGTTTCGTTTGCTTGCATTTCTTCCCATTCTTCAAAACTTTTCGGCATTTTCTCCACCGGAGGCTCATTTTGTGTTTTGACAGGCTTAGCTTCAAATTCTTGTTGTGTTGCTCCAAAACTACCAGGATCTTCCAAAATAAATTTATTTATTACAATAAAAAAATATTCTTTTTTTTACATATATATTATAAGATTTACTTAATTTATTAATGAGATTAGGATTTTCATCATCCTCAGATTCCGAATCGTCTATTTTCGATTGAGGATTTAGTAAATCAGCTAAACGAAGTAATGAATCGGTGTCATTAAAAATCGACATTTTTATTTTTTATAATAATTTAAGGATTGTCTGTGATTTTACTATCTTAAACAAACTTTAAATTAAAACTAAAATGTTTTTGTTTAGAAAAATATTTATTGACTATTCTATAGTTGCTATGGTTTCAAACAAGTAAATATCAGTCAATAAAAAAAAATATTGGTTACGTTGCTATGATTATTTTTTTAAAAATCGTTTTTTTTTTGAGTAAGTTATTTTTTTAATAATAAAATTAGAAAACAATATTTAATAAATAATTACTATTATGTGATTATTAATAACGTTGATACAAAGAACTGTTTCATATAGATGTCTGTACCATTTATGATTTTTTGGGCATAAAACTGTTTAGTCCTCAGTTCTTGAGTTTTTTTAAGAGACAAAAAAATCATATGCTCTCAAAAGTTACTCTTTTGGGTTATGACGAAAATGCAGTTTACGCAGAGTACCACAGAAATTGCAATAATTTGCTCCTAAAAGACATGTTGACATTTGTTACTAAACAACTCTGCTTTGTGTAAGTGATGAAAACAACAACAATTTTGATTTTGACGAGAAAGTCACTTTATAACATGGAACTGAAATTATTACATTACATATCCTTTTTCATATTCTTCTTCTATGTAGGTACAATTTTTAAGTTACCTGGGCACTATTGATTAAATCCACCATTTGATATTTGCCAATTCCAACGAGTTGACTGGAAAATTACTTCAACAAAATACTATTTATATAGTAATATTTATATTCGTATTATTTAAATAATTTGCATAAAACCATCTAATAATTATTATTTATAAATTATCTAGATCAAGCAACATTCATTCACGGCTTTGATATAGCACAGATTTCAATAACAATACATCGCGTATACGCCCCGAATACTTCAGTATTGAATATATGCACTGCTGAATATTAAATTTCAAAAATTCTTATTTTTTTTTAAAACTTTTTTTTTATTATTATTTATTTATTTATTACTGAAACTTAATTTTCTCCTTTTTAGTCTTATTTGTTACATTATAATTTTAAGAGTTTTGAAATAATCAATTAAAAAATTTTTGAAACAAAAAAGTATTTGTTACATTTTAACGGTTAATATTAAAATAAAAAAACGCTTATATTTTTAAAAAATATTTATAACTGTAAATAATAGTCTGTTTCATACTTTGCTTTATTCACAACTCTCCGTGTTGCCAATTATTTTGTGAAAAGTTATTAAAATTGAGAAATTTGTCATTAACAGAAATAAGTTATATACAGAAATTATCTTTAATGAAAAACTGTGTAACTCGAAGGAATAATAAACGCATTTTGTTAAGTTGTTATTTTTTGTTACTTTTTAGTAAAATTGTAGTCAAAGACTTTATGAAAACTTTTTCTCATTTTTCAGACCAAGATAACCAAAGAAAATTTAATTTCAATTAATTTTGTATGATATTGCTTATGTTATCATACTGACAAAGAAAGCTTCGGGGTATTACATGCCAGAGTAAAAATAAAATAATTTATGAAAGATGAAATCATTACCACAAGTCAAAAATAATTTTTAATAATATTTAATTATTGAATTCATGAAGCAAACTTTATACAGCCAATGCCAAGTAGCAAAAAGCAAAAAAAAAAAAATTATGCAAATTTCTTGCCATTAAATTCTAGCTACTTACAATGTAAACAAACAACGAGAAAACAATAACAATGAACAGAAATGAACCGACTGAAGGCAACCTTAACCGCAACTGAAACAATCTTCATTTTTAATGCATTCTTATTCTTATTTTGTTTTTATTTAAATTTGCTATTTTGCTACTTTTCTGTAGTTGCTGCACTTTTGTGCAAATAATAAGGACCGAACTACATGCACAACATAAACAAAAGCACTACTAAAATACGCTACAAGGATGCAAAGGATGCAAACGTATAAATTTAAAACCACATATTTGTGTAAAAAATATTTTACACTTTCCTACTATTACACATACACATTCATATTCGCAAACATGCACGTGTGTGGGAATAAGTGTAAATGCAATATTGCCTAGCGACTTAAAGTATAAGTAAATCCGTATAAAGTTTCAAGTATGCAGAATAGGCATAATCATTTGTTTGGGGAACGTCCAAAAAAAAAAACAAAATATGGAGAACGTAAAAAAAATAATAAACTAAAAATTAAATCACACAAAATTCCACGAATGGTACGAGTGGTCGGCTCCATACGCTCTTCCAGTGGGAACTTGAACAGTAACTGTTGTCCTACATATAAAACGAAAAATAATATAAATTGTTTTCTCCTGTTTATTTGTTTGTATCTATATACAAGCATGTACATATAATAGAGCGAATATATTACGTAGCTTTTCCTATGACCTCGTCTTAGTTTGGTTGACGCTAACAGTTTCGGTGAGGTCTATTTGCATATTAAATTAGAAGTTTATCCTTACGAATGAACTGATGCCAGAGCCTTGGTTTCGCACTTCTCCAGTCGAAGCCTGGAAAACAATAAAAATAACAAAATGATAAGGTAATATAAAATGAAATAGATTCTTGCATATCATCTCTGAAACGGAATCTCATTTTTCCAACAAAACATGTTCCTACCTTGCGACTTTATGACATTTTTAGAGACTATTTTGCCATTTGAATTGTTAAATTAAGCTTGTAAATTTTATGTATGACACTTAAGCCCTGAAAATTGAAATCGTAAAGTATAACAAATAGATTTTTATTAGAATTATAACGAGATTTCTTTTATGAATACTTATGTTAGGTACAACATCTTGAAATCACAAATAATTGTCGCAACCTGATTTTGAGTATGAACTTGTAACTAAGAATTTAATTTCATATTTTTATGAATATATTCCTCATGTTTTTAATATTTTTATTTTAAAATAAAATATAAAATATTAAGAAATTGAAAATTGAAAAATTCAAATATTAGATCTTATCACAAGGTGTGGTGACTTGTTAAACTCGTTTGTTAGATGGAAAAGGTTATCTATTAAACTTTAACAAATAATGAAAGGTGGTAATATTTCATATTTAATAGTTTTTTTGTTTCTTATATATTACTTAATAATTCTATCTATATGAAAAATATATTGTTCATCTGTGTAATATCTTTCTTACTGGCGCATATAACATTATTCGATATATTTGGTGTTAATTCTCAATTCTTAAGTATTTTACATTGCTGAGTTTAAAAATGGCAATAAAAAATGTGCAAAGAGATCTTCGAGATACGGCCATTTTTTCACTCCCGTAAACAAATTTTTGCAAACCCTAAAGCAAAAGTTCATGCCAAAGGGGAGGACGTAACTATTTCTTTTTGGCAATATTATTGCAGTTCAATAAATTTTTGTATTGTATTTTATATTGGCATGAGGTAGATTTATCCTCAAATTCCCTCTTATTACGCCACTGAATATAGCAACAATTGTTATTAAACAGAAATCAACAGTTTTGAAAAAATATTTCCACAAAAACCCGTAGGGTATTCATAATTTTCAACAAGGTTTACCAAATCATCAAATTTTGACTTTATTTCAATTATTGTTTGCCATAAGCCCATCAAGTTTATCTCTAGAAAACAAAATTACATAGATATACGAATATTTTAAGCCATATTTGGAGGAAATCCAAGAGAAAATAAAATATTTATTGTGTTTTTAGCGAAAATCGGCAAAATGACGTATTCAAATACCCATGTTATTCTGAAAGTAAATTTAACTTGCATCTAATCAATTTGAATGATTTTATAATTGCATGAAAAAATATATTTATTTTAAGAATTGTTTGATATATATACATAAAATTTACTCATCAGTTATAAGCCCTTCATTCAATAAGAACCTGCAGCCCCTAATATTTTACCAATATCATTAATGATGAATAAATAGTTTTGTTCTAACTTTCAGGATAAAATCTCACAATTTATGCGATATCACGAAACAAAGGAGTGGGTCAAGTCAAAACCTTTCTTCTTAGTCAATTCTAATATATTTTAGCCTAAATCGTAATATTATTTCACAACGGAAATTCAAATTCATAGTTTGGATAGGCAACAGCAACATATAATAGAT